TCCTCCTGCATCAGTCTCCAGAGTGCCGGGATTATAGGTGTGTGCTACCACACCTGGTTTATTGCTATTGTAGAATTTTTTTTTTTTTTTTTTTTGTGGCCGGCTCAGCCTGCCCTGGGTTGAGGATGGCATGGCATGTGGTCGTGGTCCCTGCACTTGCCTAAATTCAACTAAGTAGGTGCTTTAGTCTGCTGAGCTATCTCGCCGGCCCCAATTTTTTTCTTTCTTTTTAAAAATTTTGTGCAGGCTCTCACTACACAGCTTAGACTCGTAGATCCTTCTGTTTTCAGTCTCCTCAGTGCTGGAATTACAGGTGTGTGTCGCCATGCCCAGACTTGGTCGCAGGCTCAGCGCACCTAGGGGCAGGGCTGGCACAGGCCTAAGCAGGTGCTTAGCCTGCTGAGCTATCTCACTGTCCCCCCAAATTCTTTCTACTTATTAGAAAAGTTTACTGTAAAAGTATGTTGTGTTATGCAGGTAGGTACTGGTCTCACATCTCATGTTTATTGTTCCTCTTGGCTGTGTACAAGGCCACACTGAGTGAGTGACTGAATGCACTGAGTAAGCACAGTGCATTCAGATAAAATGAGTAAGCACATTTTATAATGTTCACATAAGGACCAAACATTTTACAATGCACCTAACAGAATGTATCATAGTTGTTAAGTGGCATGAATATTTTCAGTTTATTTTTCTCATTTACCTGGAGTATCCATGTTATCATATCCTTCTGGGCTTCTAACTGAGGAATTCCTTTGAGTTTTTCCAATAGCATTTGTATATTCTGTGCATTCATGGCTGAACTTCCTAATCCTGTTTTAAAACACAAAATTACGTATAATATAGTAATTATCTTCATAACTACATAAAAATGACAACTCTTATTTAATGTCACTGTACTGATAACCAAGGTTGGCCAATAGGCTTATGTCTCAAGTGATCCCAAAAATATATTATGTAAATAGATAATGAGGTGTCTGTTCACAGCTATTTGTTTTATAATCACTGTCTCTGGAATGTACACTGAAAAATGGAATTCTTTAACATAAACTCCATTAGGCCTATCTCGTTCTTTCAAGATGAAAACAATGCAAAATGAACACATTATCATTCAATAAACTTTAACAGTTTTAAATTCTGAAACAACAGCTTCACAGATGGTCATGTAAATATTATAGCTAAATAAGTAGCAAATATTTAGAATACTGATACAAGAAATGAAAGCAAGAACCTATCAACATTTGCAACTGCCCTGTCACCATTAAAAAAAAAAAAAAAAAAAAAAAAAAAGCACAATGAAAGGACGTCAGTAGGGGTTTTAAATATATACTAGAAAAAAATATATACTAGCAAATATTAGTTAGAAATTAAACATCTAAGGAAAGCCAATTTTAGGGTTTTCACATTTTCAGGACTGACAGATTACAATTCTTAAAGGCATAAACTTTTAATTACAAATTGAAAGCTAGTTGAATTGTGTTGAAAAATGATACTCAAACATACTTGAGGCCTTATGGTAAAAGTCAAATGTTACTTCTTCTTCAGGGGCCCTTTGAAGCTGCTGTTTCTCTTCCAGGAGACCCAGCGCTAGAATATGGAATGCCTAAGAGAGAAAAATAAGAGAAGATTTATTAAAATTGTACTTTTTCAGAGCTGGGCATAGTGGCACATGCCTGTAATCCCAGAATTTGGGAGGCTGAGACAGGAAGACTGTCATAAGTTTGAGGTTAGCCTGGGCTACACAGTGAGTTTAAGGCCTGCCTAGATCACACAGTAAGACCCTGTCTGAAAACAACAACAATGAAAACAAAAATTAAAAAAAAAAAAAAGAAACAAAATTGTCCAGCCTAGTTTCAAAGTAAAGAAACCTGAGTTAAAGCAACGTCAACTTATTAGGCACTAATTAAAGCCAGAAGGTTTTTTTTTTGTTTTTGTTTTTTTTTTTTTTGACTGAGTTTGCCTTCAGAGCAGGTCTAACTCAGCTTGAGTGTCTTGGTTTTGAACCACAGAACCATGAGTTTGACAGCTTTGTTTCAGCAGGCACTTAAAGAACTGAGCTATTGGGCAGGCACCCTAGGTACTTATTAAAGGTGTGGCAAATATTCTGAGTTTAATAAATTTGGGCACTAGCAAAAGTTCTTTTTATTGTACTAGTGGAAGGAAAATAAACTGGTACAATAATTTTGGATGTCAATTTGACATTATCAATCAAAATATGTAGCTGGGTGCGGTGGCACACACCTGTAAACTCAGCACTTGGGGAGCTAAGGCAGGAGGATCACTGGGAGTTCAAGGCCAGCTTGGGTTACATAGGGAACTCAAGGCCAGCCTGAACTACACAGCAAGACCTGGTCTCAAACAGTCAATGTAATGATTCAGACACAATACACTAAGGAATTAGTGTGATAAATACACTCATTTAAGTATACAAAGACATTCGAACAAGGATGCTCATTTTAATGTTATAGCAAAACCTGAAACAACCTGAATGTCTATTAATAGGAAACTAGCTAAAGGCAAGATAGTATACCTGTGCAATGGGATGTGTAGCTAGGAAGAGTAAGGCAGATCAGTACTTGCTAATGCTGGAAGGATTTCCATAATACACATAACTGTCACCAGTGCTTATTCCTAAGCAGGGTAGTGAGTGACACCAAGAGAAATTTTAACTTGATATCAAATATATCTGTTAAGGTATGAAATGAAATACTGCATGTATTTGTCACTGTTATAACAAAAATTGAGATATACATATAGCATAACAGTATAGAAGACTGGTTAGGAAAAAAAGGAAATTTAGGTAGGTGCTAAATAGATATCCAGTTACAGTTATCACAAAGTAGCATGATTAAATAACTTATAACACCATTAATAAAAAATAGTTTCTTCCACTTGAGCTAATTCTCTTAAGTCTGTAAAATAACTATACTCATTTTACTAATAAAAAAAATTGTTCCTCCTAAAGAAGAAGTGGGGAGTCCATGATTCAAACCCAGGCCTGGGGCTGGTGAAATGGCTCAGTGGTCTAAAGCACCTACTTAGAACAAGCTTAGCAACACACAGGGACCCCGGTTCAATCCCCCAGCACCACATGCCTGCCTGCCCCGCCCCCTGGTGGGCTGAGCTGGCCACACACACACACATACACACACACACACACACACCCAAATAAATAAATAAAATTAAAAAAAAAAAAAACCCAGGCCTGTTCATCTTTAGCTCCTTACTGCACTGTCTCCTCTGAATAAAAGTGAAATAAAAGAAAAGCTTGATGCAATAGTAACATGACAATTTATAACTAGCATGAGTAGGTAGGTCTTTTGCTGTTTTTCTTCAGTTTTTTAAAAATATAAAATATAAATGGTTCCCAAGTGTGAAGATGTTAAGATGTAAAAATGTATCACTAAAGAAATTTGTGCCACTTAGGAATTATTTTAACAATGCTTAGTATCAGGTATTCCAAGTGTGATGCTGAGTTAAGCCAGGATCTTCTCAGCCCCCAGAACTTCAGGAAAATCTCAGGCAAATGTACCATTTGGAGCATTCCTTCAGTCCACAAGTTAGAATCTGTGTCTACTGCTCGTTCAAATATGGTCCTGAGAATGAACATCATAATGTCACAGCTGAGAAGGTTAACCACTTTGCTGAAAGCAGGACAAAACTCAGGAGGCGGTGGCGGTGGCAACGCTGTAAGGAGTGGGGAAAGGAAACAGGTACATTTTGGGGTTACTTTACATACTTAGTTAGAAACATTAAAAAAAAATAAGATTCTGTGCAAATAACATATTTTTTACTTGTACTGAAGCACTAAAAGTATCAGGAAAATGTAACCATGTCAGTCTCAAAATCAATTTAAAATACATTAAATGTATTTGCTATGAATTTAAAATTTTTTCATCACTGATGTGGCCTTTTTTTTTTTTTGGACCACATTTTAATATACGAACAGGAAGCAAAATTCTTTGTACTTCTTTTAGTTGCCTACTCCCCAAAACCTACAAAAGAGGAGCAAGTCATAGTACAGAACACAAATAGGCAAAAATGACTCAATTCAGAATCTCACTTTTTACCTTCATCTTTATTTTCTTGTTTTCTCCTTTTCTTCTGCATATGTTCAGCCTATTTAAAAAGAAAAAAAAATTATAAAATATACTGCTAAACAAAAAACAAATGGAATATTGTTTCAAAGGAGGGAAGACTTACCAACCTCCTAAAATATTTTATATACTAAAGCATGTATTCAAAATGCTACCTTGTCCTAGAAAGTAAGAAAATAGCTATCCTAGGGAAGGTTATAGAGAAATAGTATGAGGACTCTTTCTTTCTCTTCCTCTTTCTCTCATTTAGTTTTGGTTTTGTTAGACAGGCTCTTGATATAGTGCAGACTGGCCTCGAACTCATGACACAGCCCAGCTTCCAATTCTCAGCGATCTTCCTCCTCTCCCTCAGCCTTTCCAGTTTCTCCAACATGCCTGGCTCAGGAATATTTCTATAAGAACTTTAAGACTCCAATCTTCTTAAAAATATTTTCTTTCTTTTTTTTTTTTTTTGGAGAACCGGGGATTGAACTCAGGCCCTTGCGCTTGCCAGGGAAGCACTTATTCCACTGAGCCATCTCCCTGGCCCTTAAAAATATTTTCTTAGTACCTATTTTATATAGGATCCTATGTGATGGTCTTTAAATTAAATTATAAAGTCAAAACCAGATATCACCTCAACTAAATGATCAAAGTTTAATGGCACATTCCTTTCATTAAGAACTAACAGACATTCGGTGGCCACTGGTATGATACAATATATTGTCTATGTAGTATTCTTGCACAGAAGTGTTTAATTTGAATTTGTCACTTTTTTTTTTTTTTTTTGGTGGAACCGGGGATTGAACTCAGATTTTGCGCTTGCTAGGGAAGCGCTTATTCCACTGAGCCATCTCCCTGGCTCCAGAAGTGTTTAATTTGAATCTAATCATGAGAATCTAATCATCCTAATGTGGATGGAAGCTTGAGAGCCAAATGAAGTGTGGGGTCAAGAAATACATGATACTTCATTGAATTCTCTTCCCTTGAAGATAGATATCAAGGAAGTTCCTAGTATAAATAAATACACAGAATACTATCTGCACACTAGATAAGATTACTGATGTAATTTTAATTTCTTGGAGGAGAACTAATACTACTAATGAGAACCAGCATAAAACTACAGAAGACTTGGGGATTGTTCTATGGATTTACAAAACATAAAGCATTTTATGTTGATTTATTGAAAAGCGTACTTTTTCCTACCTTACTATGCTGTGTTTTGGAGTAATGATAAAAGTACATGTTAAAGTCTTTCAGTGATTCCTCTTTCAGTTCATAAACTCCATGGCCTGATACACCTGGTTTCCTAAGTAGATGGAGAACACAGAAGTGAACTGCGGTATTCTTAATAGTACAGAAAAAAAAAAGACAAAAATAAGAACCAAAAAGTTAATCTAAAAGTTAGAACATACAGATTTTCAAACCTATGTTACTAACATAGAGTCTTGACAGCTGTTAAGATGTGTTCTATAGTTATAAAATGCAAAAAAAAAAAAAAAAAATGGGGG